TTTCGTGGAAGTGGGAGAGGATTTTTCTCTTTTAAGGGTGGTAATGAGGGAATCCGGCATGCTTTAATGACATTTACACAGGATTGTTTTCATATAGATTTAAGGTTTCATCTAATTTGAAGTGGATCATGATCATACCGTACGCCTTATGTGGTGAAGTAGAGAGCACATCACATTCTGGAAACTCCATGGATAACCAAATGACAAAGCCCATCACCGAGACAGTGCCTTATTGATGTCATTTTGAAAGTGCCCTAAGTAGGTGACAGTGAGGCGCCAAAATAATTGTTGCCTAAATATTGTGGGTAGAAGATTAACCGGTTCTAAATAAACCATAGCTAAGACGTGACCTGTTTAATATTAAAGGGTTTCCCCTGCAACAAACATTAGCAACGAAGTAATGATGATATGAAATACGTCAAATTTTTAACTTATTTTGCCTAGCATGAGCAATCTATTACTAACTGACATAGACTACTCAGTATACCACTTAAACTGCGGTAGGGCGACTTAGCAGACTTGCGAACGAATTGCTCTCTTTGTCAAAAATTTGCCATTGCAAATTTAACATCGCAGAGAATGCACATTTGATAATTTGAATTGCATGCACATAAAGTCGCGTTAACATGTGCTTTAAGCGCATATCTATATGCTTCCAATGGCTGGGAGAGCTTCGTAGTGTATTTGTGCAATTTTTATTTTGGTAGCGGTGACCGGCTTATCATAAGTGATACTTACAGCAACACCTATATTCTAGCTCTTTGCTATTCTACACAGTGTTGTATAAGATTGATAAAATTGGTGAGCATAACAGATGAAGAGTGGGATAGAATAAATTGCTTATAAGTTTGGAAGAGAGGAGCAGCAATTGCAGGTTATGGTGATGTTGTGAATTGGGAGTAAAGGGTGAGAATAGTGCGCAGGCGTCTCTTTACCTTTACACCGTTTAAAATTAGGAGCACGCTTCAACTCAGCTACGATTGATTGCCCAACTAATGTTGACTATAAGCTATTAAGTACTTTGAAGTAGACAGAGGAAAGAAATGGAATGCCTGACGAAGTCAAACTGAGAGAACAGTAGGGTGATGAATTCAATAAACCCTCATTTGGGCTAAAGACAGCAATTACGGTGTGACAAGATTCGTGAAACTGCACAACCTTGACTAATACCTCGTCGATTCCATCGGTAGCCATCTTACTGTCACTTAAGGCCTCAATCTTTTTGAAAGGTTGCTGTAGACGCTTAATGGGAATGCTGCTAGCCGTGAGACATGACATACGGGAGTGGAACAGTAGGAGAGATAAATGAAAACAACGACTGAAACTGGGAGCATAATCCATCGCACATAAGTGACGATAGCTTCATATGTCCAGCGGTTGCAACTTTAGGTAAATGAATAATTTTGCTTAGTTAGCAGGATGGTATATGTGAGTGTATCTGTTCCTCGTTTTCTGCTTGTTTAACAATAACACTTACTACCCTCCATCATCGCTCTCGTGATTCGCAGTAACCGAAAACAATTTACAATAAATATACATAAATGTATATAAGATAATACAGGTAATAATAGGTTACTTGTGTTAGCATGAGGGAATGCACAAACGAAACGACCATAAGCTATCAGTGCGTCTTTTCCACTTAATGTAATCCTGTCACCTCCGTCGCACTATCTCGTTAATTTGGGTGTATTTCGATTCTAAGCTACGTTCTGAGAGGGGTGAAATGTTTTTTGATGTGGAAAATTTTGTTCCTTAGTGCTCACAGCTTTTTCGAGTCAGCTGTTCAAACACCTACCACCATTCCCAAGTATTGGTAACCCTTTAGATGACTTTGAACTGACCCTGATATTTACTACATTTGGAGGCTGCTTCGATCAGCCATTGAGCGGCAGAGAGAGCAAAACAGAATTGCAAACCAAGGCGGCTAAC